CTTTTCTTAAAGCCCGGCTCCAAGAGACCAGTGATTGTGTGAGAATCTCAGCTTTATTTTTTTAAGGTAAGTTTCTAGCCCTCAGGGTTTCATGCAGAAAAAGCATGAAAATGTGACCTGCATGTGTATCTAAAGGCTGAGAAACGAGAAGACAAATAGAATCCCAAAATTCTAACATCCCATGATTTTTAAAGCCAGTCTCGTGATTTTTGGAGACTTGACCCATTATTTCTGCGCACTTGGGATTGGCAGTACATTATGTCCGAAGAGATGATGGTTTATTTGCCACCCTTGCATGCCACTGACAAGTGTCCCTTCACACTCCCTTCTCCGTCCTTATTCCTTCTACAAAATATGAGTAAATTGGTGCTGCAGTAGCAGCACCTTAATTAATGCAGGATCAGATTCTGCTCCTTTACTTATCCTGTTGGACAGTTTCAACCTTTGGCTTCTACATGCAGAGCTGTGCCACTCTTCTATGCAGGAACAAGCCCAGGTAGTCACCAATAACATTTCACAATGTTTCCTTTCACCTAATTAACATTTACCGCAAAGATCGCAGTATTCCCTGTGCTAAGTACACTGAATAGCCTCATAATGCTAATTACTTGCAAAGTGCAATTGTAATTTTAATGGCAACCACTGTAAATTGCTGTTTATGTACTGTAAGAAAATTAAAATCTAAGTTTTGTTTATTCTAAAATTAATTTTGATACTTAGATTATCTGGTTTTTTTGCAAAACACATCTATCAAAGGCAGGGAAATGATCTCAAATGTCCTTTGAGTTTGGTGGCAAAAATTTTAATAAGGGGCCCCCAGGATCTACGGAGCTCCTCTTCAAGCACATCACTGAGTTAATGGGCATTCTAGAGTCAACACCTTCCTGGACAGCCACAAAGCTTCACTATACACAGACTGAAAACTAGATGCAAGAAGGATGAAAGACAGACAACATAGGGAAAAGGGAAGGATTTTCTGGCCCGAGTTTGTGATACCTGTAATAATGATAAAGAAAGTAAGATGTAAACTATTTGTCTTTTAAACCTAAAATGTATTACATAGTTAATATCCGACAAGAGTCAGATTACTGCTTGTCTTCATAATTTGCATTTCATAAAACAGAGACTAGCTGAAATTGTGGCCTTAAATGTTACTACCATGCAAATAAACTGCAAGAACTTTTACAGTAAGTACTGTGCTAACTGTTTGTACCTACCAAAGGAGTGAAGAATAATTACATGATACTTTCACAATGTAAAATAACACATAAGTAGGCTCAGTTTGTAAATTTTAAATTAAATGTACATGATTTAAAGGCTCAGGAAAATCTGGCATTCATGAGCATGTTTGATTTATATGTTCATATTCAATGCAAACACTGTTGATTCTGATTGCATACCAGTGTATGACTCTAGTGTAAGTATTCATTTCAAAAAAGTTGACTATGTACAATATTGTGATAAATATACTCTAGCTGGGTTCACAAGTAGCAAAATAGAAAGGGCAAAAGGCAATTGGCAAAATTCAGACTGTTGCAGCCTTAAAGTAAAAAAGTAATCTCTGTGCTATATTGAGAGGTGACACAGAGTAGCGTAAGTTACATGTTGGATATAAAATGTATAATGCATATGAGTAAGTGTAAATATCACAGTAGCTTTCTGAACAATTTCTGCCAAGTACGACTTTCACTCAACATAACTTTCACCACCGTTTTATTATCACTGCATTTGGCTTATGTACTTTAAGAAAATCATTAAAAATGTCACTTTTGATTTTTTTTTGTCCCCCGAGGTCCTAATCTTTAAAGCACTTTTTAATTTCATAGCAGCATTTACCATATTTTGGACCCTTAATAAAATCATATACATGATTGTAAACAAAGATGTGAACATACTGCTCTATTGTATCTTGCTTATTTTTAAATAATTCTTTAGACTATAGTGAATTATATGTTTGTGTTGGCATGTATCAGTTCCGAACTCATCCACAAATTCATACCAACTGATTATCCTAAGACGTCCTAATTTAAACAGTTTGGTATAACATTTGCCTTCCAGGCACAAATAAGCATGTAATTACTCTGTAATCACGTCGTAATTAGTATGTACTATGCATATATTGCATAATTATATGCCCTACAGATGATGTGGTAATTATACTTGGATTTAGCATATAATTCTATATGCAGTATCACAGAGAAAAAACTTTGAGTTTAGAGTAAAGGTTATAATTATATGCTAATGTAGTACAATATTTTAACATTATTATAATGTTAAGATTATCCAAAAACCAAACATTTGAAAGTGATGAAAATCGTTCTTATAGTTAGACATGCAACCTGAACTCTGTGGTGCTGGCTACTGTCTCCTCCATGGCAATATTGGCATATTTTGGTTTAGTATCTGTTCCAAGGACTTTGGAATAATTAAAATTATGTCCTTTTAATTAAAATATTATATATTCTATGGACCTGTCACAACTTGCTTCATCTGCATATGGAATTAGCTTTTCAAAAAACTATAATCTCTTGCTATTTATATAATTTTATGGCTCCATCCCCGTAGTATCTGAGCACCTCAAAAACATTAGTTTATCCTTACATATCCATCAGATAGGGAGCTATGTTATCCCCGTTTTACAGATGGGAAAGTGAGACACAAAAAGATTTAGGTGACTTGCCCAAGGTCTCACTGTAAGCCTGTCAGAAAGTTGGGAATCAACTTCAGATCTCCTAAGATCCAGTCCAGTATCAAACAAAAAACCTCCCTTCCTCTCTGAACTAAGTATACATGGTCTGGTGTAATATGATTTGAGTGATAGGGCCTGATTCTAATCTCACTTGCACTAGATCAACACTCTTTTGTTTCCAGTGAGTGTAAGTCAGATCAGAATCAGGCTAGTGATGCTGAAGGCCAATTTCCAGTCCAGTGGTATAAATCCAGAATAACTCCAATGAAATCACTGCAGTTCTGGATTTACACTACTGTAAGGGAGATCTGAAGTTGGTCTCTGTGGTCTGTATCTTGTGTTATGTTTTGACTATACGATCTCTCATCTAGATCTAGTGTTTAAACTTCAGACATTGAATGTAAGACCTGATTGGTCCCTCTGGTTTATAGTGGAATGTTGTATCTGTCCAAGTTTTGTATTTTATGAGGAGGATAAGACACAAACAATGGTAATCTATTTACTAAACAGGAAAGTGGGATGAAGAAAGGCTTGGAATGTGCAATGTAAAATTATTCTTCTGTGACTAGAACATATAGCTGGACTGGAAATAGATCAAGTGTTTGCTACTTTTGTGTTGGATCAGGCTTCAGAGATGTAGGTATGGGAGATTGTAGTATAATGCGTTGTTTATTTGAATCATACTGCCACTGAGTGACTGACCCTATAAAGGCTGATGAGTCTCAGCCCCACTTGTGCCACAGTCAACGCTCCTCCCCTGGTGCGGGGAAATGAAGAGGGTCATAAAAACAACAAGGAGTCTGGTGACACCTTAAAGACTAACAGATTTATTTGGGCATAAACTGGTAAAAAACAACAACACTTCTTCAGGTGCCACCAGACTCCTTATTGTTTATGTGGATACAGACTAACACAACTACCCCCTGAAGAGGGTCATGTGACCCAATCATGCATTTGGAGTAGAAAAGGCTCTGATAGAGGAGAGATTTCAGCAGCAGCCTGGAGAAGGCTGTTGTGGGTTTCAGGAGCAGGAAGGCTCCTCTTCCAAAGTGGAATGAAAGCAAATTCATAAATATCCCAGAATTTTGTCCAGCTCTACCTCGGAGTAGCTTGAAAGACTCCAGGCAGTAAGACCCGGGGAGGATGAATATATGAACTCTTGAGTATTTTATTCTGGAACTACATATGGTAATAAACCAGTCCAAGCTATTGACTACAAGAAAGCCTTTGTGAATTACTGAGGAGCCCTGAAACTGAGGCAGGGATGCTGCAGGCCACCCATGCTCTGGATGCAGTGACCCTATTACAGTTTAAGAACTTGCAACATTGTTTTGCTGTTCATGCTTGCAATTGAAATGATGCATAATGGGGAGTTATGACTGTTTCTTGGATCTGCAATGTTGGGTGGGTCCTGACTATTTATGGCAATTAAAATTATTTGTCGACCCCTAACTCCAATTTTCTTCTTTGTCAAATGGTTGGGTTTTTGAAAATTTTAATATTCAGATAAATTCTACTAAATTTGCATAATTCCTTACAACTTTCACACTTACCTTAATGAAGTTTTTAGTCTGTACTTTTCCATAGTTTTGTATCCTTGTGTTAGCCTGTGTCTTTAACGCTGATTGTAACCTCCATCGAGTTTGTAAGGTTCAGGATGCACCTATGGTCCTTTTAAGATTATCTTGCTTGTCCTGTAGAGGTGAGCATGGAGTTTACAAGATGTGTAGGATGGGCTTACAGAGCTCATACGTGGTTCACTGCACATGCTAACCTTTCAAGTTCTGTGGACTGTGTACCTTGTAAACAATGTATTAGTAAGCATGTAGTCTGTAAATTCTGCAGAATGAGCATATAAACTTTTTACAGGTTGGGAAGTATGGTTGTTGATATGGTTATTGAATGGTATTTATAGAGTTTTTGGAGAACTGACTAAACAGTAACCTGTGTCTTCACTGTCTTCTTTCACAGTCGACAGTTTTTCCATGTTGCAACTCCATTGATTTTAATGGAGTTACACCAGGGATTAATTAGCCCAATATGCTTTTACTGTATTTGTTTTACAGGGAAGATAAAGTGCAATGCTACTGACTTTAGTCATCCTTCATTTTCCACCATTATAATTTTAACATATGCTCATGCACTTTCTCTCTCATTGAATTATGAGCCAAAGAAGCATAAGAGGTGGACACGTTTTCTGGCAGCCAAGATTTCTTAGCTGACAAATATATGCTCAAGGTCTCATTAACCGTGAAATAGATACAAACATTGTAACGCAATATAAACCTGATATATTTCTTATTTTTTACAGTGGAGCCAGCACTTTCAAAGGGGAACAATTGTTTGGATGCAGCAAAAGCCTGTAACCTAAATGATACCTGCAAGAGGTTCAGATCTGCTTATATAACCCCCTGCACCAGCAGTACATCTAATGAAATCTGCAACAAGAGGAAGTGTCATAAGGCTCTCCGTCTATTTTTTGACAAAGTTCCCCCAAAGCACAGCTATGGGATGCTCTTCTGCTCCTGTCGAGACATAGCCTGTACAGAAAGGAGACGGCAGACTATTGTTCCTGTGTGTTCGTATGAAGACAAGGAGAAACCAAACTGCTTGAATTTACAAGATTCCTGCAAGAAGAATTACATCTGCAGGTAAGATAGTACATGGCAGGGAAGTGATTAATGAGGTAGCAGGGAGAACCTTTGGAGCTGCTGAAATTGCCAAGACTCCAAATCAGAATTTCCACTGGGAACAGGACAGTTGGGGCCGGGGGGACTTGACATCTTCAACTGAACAACAAAAGTCTGCATCTGGTTACAGTATATGTCTTCTCAGAAACTGTAACTACTCACTACATGATGGAATGATCTTTTACCCCCCTAGGAAAGATATAAAAACAGAAAGCTGTTTCCTACAAAATTTTGTTGGAAACCTTTCCTTTACGTGTCTTCATGAAGTGATGACTTAGAATATTTTTTTCATAACTGACAAGCTGCAAGAGCTGATGGGAAATTTTAATAATAATTGAACACTCTAACACTGCTTATGAATATTAGTGTAACTGTTAGTGGATAAAAGCCATAGCCAGGACCTTATTCACAGCCCTAGCATGCAGGTTGCTCACAGGGTTTTTCTGCACTGTCTGGGAATCCTCCCTCTCAGGCTTTCAGAGCTGCAGTAGGCTTGGGACTGTTTTGTCCCACCTCGGTATCCCCACAGATATTTGTGTTTGACTGATGTATTCGTAGTTGTTGATTCACTGGTCCAGCTCCCAGCCCTCTTCCTCCTCTGTGTACCTGGGCAGTGGGTGCCCCCAGAGGACATAGGTTTCCTGGGCAGAAGGGGTCCTCATGCCCTGAGCAAGCTCCCTGCACTGGTTCTGCTGCACACAGGGCCTTCTATACCTCTAGGAAACCTCGTACTGCCAGTTACATTCTGTATGTTTATATTAGAAAGCCATTGTACTAATGCCGTATTTTAAAAGTTATAAAAGTTAGATTCTCATTAATTGCCAGTGGATAGGTCCCAATGTGTATTACCCAAATGTTGTGTATTAGCAATGAAAACAAACATTTTAAGAAGTCAAGGATACTGTAGTAAATTATTTGAGTGTGTTTCATATATATTTTGACTGCCCTGGAGTATATTTTGTAGAAATAATTAAGATTTAATATGATTATGTGGCCTCACTGTAGTATTCTACTATTAAACCTTTGGGCTGGATCCTAAAGTGTGCCTGAGCTCTGCTCTGTGCACCTGAGAAGGTGGCATAAATAGCCTTCTTCCCTCTCTGTCCTTGGAGAGGCAAAGGGGCCAAATTGGAATAGCCTATGGTCTGCTCTAAGTTGTGTCAGTTCCAGTTGGAGTCATTGTGGATAGTTCTCTGAAAACATCCACTCAGTGTGCAGGGGCAGTCAAAAAAGCTAACAAAATGTTGGGAATCATTAAGAAAGGGATAGGTAATAAGACAGGAAATATCATATTGCCCCTGTATACATGCATGATATGCCCACATCTTGAATACTACTTGTAAATGTGGTTGCCCCATCTCAAAAAAGATTTATGGGATTTGGAAAAGGTTCAGAAAAGGGGAGGCCAAACAAAAATGATTAGGGGTATGGAACGGCTGCCGTATGAGGAGAAATTAATAAGACTGGGACTCTTCACTTGGAAAAGAGACGACGAAGGGGGGGATATGATAGAGGTCTATAAAATCATGACTGGTGTGGAGAAAGTAAATAAGGAAGTGTTATTTACTCCTTCTCATAACACAAGAACTACTTCGTAGGCGGCAGGTTTAAAACAAACAAAAGGAAGTATTTTTTCACATGACGCACAGTCAACCTGTGGAACTCCTTTCCAAAGGATGTTGTGAAGCTCAAGACTGTAATAGGGTTCAAAAAAGAACTAGATAAATTCATGGAGGATAGGTCCATCAGTGGCTATTAGCCAGAATGGACAGGGATGGTGTCCCTAGCCACTGTTTGCCAGAAGCTGGAAATGGGTGATAGGGGATAGATCACTTGATGATTACCTGTTCTGTTTATTCCCCCTGGGGCACCTGGCATTGGCCACTGCTGAAAGACAGGGTACTGGGCTAGATGGATCTTTGGTCTGACCCAGTATGGCTTTCTTATGTCGTAATGCCCCCCACAGAGCCATTCCAGCAGCTCACCGTCCCCAGAATGCAGCACACACTCTTCATCACGGGAGCAGGGAGTGAGTGGCATAGAGCAGGCTACATCAGCTTTTCAACACCCAAGGATTCCTATGCAAGGAAAATCTCCAGCTGCCTGTTAAGGTTAAGGTAGCTTTTGGCCCCTCTGCCATACTACTGGAGCCAAGGTTCTGGCCTCTACTGGAAAATGGGGCAAGGCCACTGATTCTGAGAATTATGATCTGTAGGGACTAATGGACTAAGAAGTAGAGAGGGTTCTCTATTCTAGTTATAATAACTATTTGCATTCAGAAAGTACATGTTCACCAGGTTCTCAAAATGCTTTCCCAAGGTTATTTGCCATGATTTTAACCCTGGGTAATAGGGTTATATTATACCCATTATACTGATGGATAAAATAAGGAACAGTTAAATGACTTGCCCCAGGTTACATAGTAAATCACCGGTGGAACCAGGAATAGAATCCAAGAGTCTTGACTTTCAGGCATCACCACACAAACACATTGCTTCCTGTTAGGAATATGTACTTACAATACAGTATGTGCAAGGGGAGTGGAAAATTGTGGGGGGAAAAAACGTTACGTTTCACTGGCCTCTAGCATATCCCATTAATGGGAGACTTAAATCCACAGACTTCTTCTTGAGCTCTTGTCACCATTGAGTGGACAGTATCATACTTGAGTAAATGTACAGTGAACCTCTTCAAAAGTTCCACCATTTTTGATTGATTCTAGAGTTTTCAGTGACATGGTACCCATCTAGAGGAGACTAAAACTAGAAATGGTAATGTCTTTCAGAACGGTCTGAGTCCTTATGGGCATCCACTGTAATTTGCTCCACTGCCCATATATGTTCTGTTTTACATCTTAATATTTAATTTTGTTTTTTACTATTTTGATAAGCAGAACAGTTATTTTTGTTAGGATGAAATGTCCATCTCATAAATTGATTTGGATTTGATGAGATTAATGTGGTGATTTAGTCTACCCGCCATATTGCCAGGCAGAATTGATTTTTTTATTATTATTATTTATTACTATTCATAAGCCATCCCTGATAAATGTGATTCAAGGCTTGATCTGATTCCTGTCCCCAGGGACTTATTCCAAAGCCTCTCTTGGCAGCTACTTCCACTGCCCAAACTGTTCTCAGTTATGGGGCCAAATGCTACCCACACTTAGTCCCTGAGCTGAATGTCTCAGACAGGGTCAGGGAAGAGTTCTTTCTCCAACCCAGTGGCTTGACACTGTGCACTGCTACTATACCTTACAAACTGGGTTTCCGTGCATCCTGTATGTTTAGGCTTGTGGATGCACATAGTCCTAGAACACCTGGCTTCCTGTCCTCTACCTCAATCCCAAGCCCCTTCTTCCTTGTGCATGGCTTCTCTAGAGTTCCATTCTGCCTGCCATACCTCCCTGAGCAGCAGAGCAATGGTATTTCCACAGTATTTTCAGCCAAGGTTCCACTGCATTCAGTGCCCGTGGGGTGGATTTATCCCATAAAGATTTTCCTATTACTTACGCTGCAGCCGGGAATATTTAGTGTAAGTGCTGCCATTACTACTTCTGTGTTTGTTGTCAGCTCTGGTCAAATGTCGTCTCAGCAACTAAGTTGTTCAATAGTATTTTATTTAATCAGATTTCATTAATCTTGCCCTGATTTTATGCCTTTTATATTACATCACTGCACAATCCAGCTTGGTAAAAATTGCAATTACCATTGCCCAAAGCTACAACCAGCGCTAAAATGAAAATTGATTTCTTACCAGGTTTCCTATTGCGTTCCTTTGCATACAAATGTCAGTTCAGAAAGTTTGGGCTCTTTTCTGGCTCAGGGACCCATTGTTTTGGGGTGTGGGTATGCAGAGGTACAGCACTAGCGTGGAGCACACTGATGGCATTGTGGGAGCATACCAACGTGCAGCAGCACTTCTGTCTCCTTTCTGGAGGTACAAAATGTCTCCTCCCTTCCCAGTTGCAGATGACCAACTGGTGAAGACAGTCATGCTTGACCCACCCTCCCAGGCATTGTGGGGACTGATACTGACATTCCCTGACCATGGACTCATGGAGAGCAATACCCAATCTTATGGCTGCTCCATATGTATGTGGTGGAGTCCCTCCTTCTGTCTTCTGTCCCTCCTTCTCTGGCCCCTCTATACAGAGCCAGCCATAACTGTCCCCATGTCTAGTGACATGGTAGTAGCAGGCTTTTTCAAGTACCTTCACGTTTTTTTCTTCTCCCAGCAGACTGGGAAGAAAGGCAACAGCTCCCCACTGCTAGTGTTGAGATCCAGCAATACCCAGTCCATGTAGTGGTACCAGAGCCTAAATTAAAATAATTTAAACCCATGGCCTTTAAGCACTTTTTTCTGACTCCAAGGTTTTTTTGTTTTGTTTTATTTTGAAGGTATAAGGAAAAAATAAATGAAGTAATACTTACAAGCACATATTTTAACCACAGTGAAATCCTCATTTGCGAAGAGTTGTTTATTTGCGTGTATATCACGCATATTTAAGCACTTTCAGTATTATTCAGGACACTGGCACATCCTTTTCTCAAAGGCCTCCTAAAATGCTCTCAGACTGTTTACATGGACAGCATTTGTTAATACAAATGTTTGGGCCTGCAAACACTGATGCACAAAATATCTAGTTACTATACACAAATATCTATTTACATGCTTAGTTTTGGACATCTTTGAAAATTTCACCCTAGCTATGCAGAACACTGAATCTGTCATAAAAACAGGATAAGTACAGGAAAACAACTGGGCCAAACTACAGATACTGTCAACCCATTACTGAGATGATAGGTTAATTAACTTAATTTCCTTCTTCATTGTTCAGAAATGTACATAATCAGCTAGACAAAATAAACTTTTGAACCATGGAAAGAGGGACCAGAAATGTCAGTAAATGCAGATAAGGTCTGGTTTATGTAAAGAATCCTAATTTTCAGTAAATGGCC